TTTGTTAAAATTTTATTTTTATTATATTATGTGTATATAATTTTTTTTGATTTTAAAAATGTCTGCATAATTTTGGTTGTTGACTATATTTATTTTTTTTGGATTATATTTGACATCACACATATTTTCAAAAATATGTTTCTGCTACGTAAACTAATTATTGAGTTTGATAATTTTTATCTCTGCTATGCAATTATATATCTGACTATATTAAAATTTTGTTATCTGCTATGCAAAATTTTAGGTGACTTAATCAAAAAATTTCTATGTTCAATAAGCAATCTCAAATCTAACATATATATATATTGTTTGGGGTCCTAGTGACATCAATACTGCAATATTGTGTTTTACCCTTTGAATAATTTTGATTAATCAATTTTCTTTGTTCTTCTGCTAATTTGGTATTTTTATTATAATAATTTCTTTTCAGTTTGGCCTTGAACAAATGTTCTTTAAATTTTTTGAGTAATTCTTTAACTTCTTCTTCTTAGTAAACATTATAATGTAAACTATCTCTAAAATGCTGACAAGTATCACACAAGTCAGTTCTTGAACTCATAATTTGAATTTTTGGTGTCAATTAATATCACAATTTTCTGAAAGCATTATACTTCAAAGATTTCTTCTTCTAGACCAGCTAGAAAATCTTTATGTACTGATTTATAACTCATTTCAGCTGGTAAGAATACAATTGATTGAGTTATTCTATTGATACTTCTTTCTGAACTTGATAATCTATAAACTTCTACATAATTTTCCAGAAAATTCTTTACTATTTTAGCAACATTTTTATCAATCACCATTTTAGTTTTCCATAGAGGCATTCTTTTAATATTACCATAAATTCTTGGCAAAAGACCATTATTTATCAGATTATTTCTGATATTTTCAAAATAAGTCCTACCAATTCCCAATATATTGAGATAAGTTTCTTGACAAAGGAGTATATTGTGATCCTAATAGTAGAAAGTTCTTTTATTAGATCTAGTTTCTTTTTAAAGTGTCTGCTAGTACTTGTTAATCTACCATCTATTACCTTAAGTTAGGCCATTAAAAATATGTCTTATTCTACTTTAGAAAGAGCTTGAAAGGATTCTCTTAATTCTGCAAATTGTTTCTTGGAAATTCTTGAAGAACAATCACAATTATATCCATTTTCTAAAAAATCAATTGCCTTTTCATATTCATTAGAACTATTATAATTATTATTATTTTTATATACCTATAATCCTATATATATAATTTTATGTTCACTTTGTAAGTTTTTATTTCAAAATAAATTTGTCAAATTTCTACTTATGTAGACAAAAAAATGATCAATCAAAGTAATACCTTATTTCTATCTGTAAATTCTTTTAAAGCTAATATTAAGCATACAAATTATATTGGAAACATGAAAAACTTCTTTATTTTTAAAAATTAAAGAATAGTTTTTATTAATCAATGTAATAAAAATTTGATCAAGTATTTTTATATATATATATACTAATCAATAAAAATTTGAAATAAATTTTTTGTGTTTATTTATAATATCTATCATTTAACAAAGAGGTTTTAATCTCTTTTATAAAGTATGTAAAAAATGTTACAGCAAACAAAATATAAAGTTGTATGTCTTTGATTAGACAAAAAATATTTAATCACTTCCTTTTATGCTTTTAGTTGTTTCTTGTGATTTCCTATAAAAAGGAAAGACAGATATTATAGAAACACTTATGCAATATAATAGCAATAAAATAAAGAGAATTGAATAATAAATGCTACTTATAGACAAATTTTTTTATTGCTATCCAGACCACTAACTTGTATTTGCAGGATAGAGGCAATATAATTAGTTTTTTTTTTTGCATCTATCATATCACACTTACAAAAATGAGGTTCAGATGCTTCTAATTGAGGATTCTTTGGGGATCCAATCCATTTAAGAAAATACCATCCTAATGCATTTGTCACAATACTATATATTTGTACTTGAGGTTCAGGTTCTATATCTGTCTTATCTATCTTTTATTTTTTGTTTATTTTCTAAAAATGAAATGTTAGATGTCAATAAGCAAACAATAAAAAACAGAATAATAATAATGTACAATATTTCATTTACCTGAAATAGCACTATGCATTTGCACAATATTCTGGATAGCACCTTTCTCAAAATCCTCTTTTTTAGCTTCACAGATCAATAAAACAAAATCCTCAAGATGTATAGAATAATCAACAGGATCAAAACTATAACTTTCATCAAGCCACTCTTCACTTTTGAGATAAAGCTTACTTTCTTTTAACTGGGACATATTCAGCAGTTACAGTCATAAAAGCAGTAATAAACTCTCTGCAGGTGTTCTTATTATGATTAACATGAATAAAGGTCCTTTTCTTTTTCTTGAGTTTACCAATAAAGGAATTAACTATATCATCAGAAATTTCTGGATCTGGTTATGTAAATTTTTTTGTTTAAAAAAAAGCACACATATAGGTTATAAATCACTCTGATAAATAATCCTAAATAAGAAAATATTGCAAGAATGTTACTTATGTCAAACTGATTAATGTCATTTACTGATAATCCACTCTTATGCAGGAATTTCTCAAAAACTTCATTTATTTCCCATTCTCCATATGCTTTCTTTTCTATAAAGAAAAGAAAACAAATGAGTATTCACTTCACTTTTGCATCTAATTTAAAAAAAAATTAATCAACCTTGAATTCAAATTGAAAGACTTATCTTACGTTTACCACTTTCATTCAATTTAATATCTTTCATTACCTTATTGAATGCAAACTCATTCTTAACTTATATCTCACTACTTTTCTTTCCATCTTCTTTATAGATAAAAAAATATAAAGAGTTTTCTGCTTTCAAAGTTTCAAAGTTTGTTTTAGCTTCATGACATAGAAGACACTAAAGGTCACTTGTATGTGAAAATACAGTGAAACCTTTATAAGTGCACCCTCTATAAATACACACTCTATGTAAATTCTCTCTAAATGTACAGTAGGCTTTTATTCCAACTTATAAGAGCTCTTAATATTTTATTCTCTATAAATGCACACCTTCTTTAATTGCACATTCTGCTATTTTTTTATTATGATCTCAAGGGGAATGCACTTATGGAGGTATCACTGTATGCTCTTGAACCAGGATACAGATAAGTTACAATGAACTATGATTACAAATAATATACAAGTGTAAATGTGATGGGTGTATAGATTTGAAATCAAAAAGATAAAAATATTTTATTTTATCTTTAGATTTAGAGAATGGGTAACATATAACTAAAGGACTTGTGGCAGTTGTATTCAAATTTGTGATAAGTATGTCTGCTTGAAGAGGGTTGATTTTGTTATTGTGGTTAAAGAATTCGAGAAGTTTTAGTTTAATGTTTTCGAAGGTATCTTCTTCTTTACAAAGTTTGCGTGCAAGATTGTCTAAGTCTGATAGTAAATTATTCTATTCAATAAAGAATTTCATAGATCTCGAGATGCTTTTGACAAGAATTCAAAGTGTTAACTTCTCAGAACATAATGATATTGCTGATGACATTTGTGACATTTTTGTTTTATTCTACCTTCTAAATTTTTAAAAAGCAAAAGTTAATGTTGATTTTTAAATAATAATTTATAACAATTACATGTCTTCCAATTATTTAATTAGTCCTATAATTATTCATAGTACAAATTTTTACTTTGTCTGGTTTTGTTACAGCATGTTTCAATTATAATTTTTTAAACTAATATAAAATATATTTGAGAGAAAAATCTCTCAATAAGAAAAAAACACTATATTAAATATTTGTTTATGGAGAAACTGAAAGATATTTAAAAGAATAATAAATAAAATATTATCTTTGCTGAATTAAGTATTTGGTAAGAATAACACCTTATGTATTAATCTTACCTGATTATCTAACTAAAACCAATCACTTCTTAAATATAAATTGCTTAAATGCTTATTAATTGATAAAAAACTTTTCCTTTTGCACTAACAAAGCAACTTTTCTAGAAATAAAATGAGGTAAAGTAATGTTCTAATTAGATTATTAGATTTTTCTAATAATCTTTGGATTTCTTAACCAGTTCCACCATTAGAACATTAAAAATACTTCTTTTTAAGAATTAACAAGAAAATATAAAACACAAAAAATAAATATTTTAAAAATATGACAAATATAAATAACAATAACCTACCTCTGATTAAGAAAGTTAGAGAATTAAAAGAAAAATATAAAATTCCTTCTTATGAGAAGTTTATGAAAACTTATCAGGAAGACGAAGGAATGGATAATAATTATTATTATGAAATTGATAGTTATAAAGATATTAAAATAATCAGACCTTTTGATCCAGGATTTTTAGATGATTTAAATCGTGATGATTTTGGAAAAGCTTTTGGGAGAATTGATAGCAGTGTAATTGAATCTAAATTTTTTGTAAATTAAATTTCAAATGAATAATATTGATAATAAATGCTGACGTGTTAGAAATTTGAATTTTTTGTAAATTAAATTTCAAATGAATAATATTGACAATAAATCCTGACATGTTAGGAATCTGAATTTTTTGTAAATTAAATTTCAAATGAATAATATTGACAATATATGCTGATATATTAGAAATTTAATGCC